ACCGGGCCTCTGATTTTCCCAAGAGAGATGGGCATTTTCCAACCTTTCCCCCATGATGATAACCTGGGCCGGCCATACCTTTGTTGGGCTTCCAGGACCAGACTCCAAACGCCTAACGCTAGCACCCCAAGGCCCAAGCTAGCCCGGTCCGTCATTTCCATCCACTCGCCGTCTCCCGCACACACTGGCCGGCCGCGCGGCGGATCGCCGCCCCTCGCATCCTCGTCGCGCCGCCGCACCGCACCGCACCGCGCGGGTTGCTCGTGTTCGACGGAATGCCCCCGCCGGGACCCGGGAGAGGTACTAGTCATTCCCCTCCCCACGCGCGCTAGATTGCAGGTGCCGTCCAGTGTGTTGTCGCGTCCCGTTTGTGCTGCCGCAATTTCTGCATCACTTGAAAAGTTGAAATCCCTGTGATTTCGAGGAAACATGAGCGTTTTCGAATTTCGACGGAGGGTTCTTCACGGGGGACCTGTGTCGTGCTGCCCCATGCGCGCCACGGGAACGCCTTGCGATGAGCTCATCCTGTATTGGCTCTCGTGCACCAGTTGGGTGTGAGATGGATATGTTGTGGGTGGTGGCTGTTTCAGTTGGTGCACAGGTGTTTCGCAAGTTGTCAAGTAGATGTTTCTAGGATGGGCCCGACTCATTGATGGATGATTAATAACAAGCTGAGGAAAACTCATTTTGAAACAAGAAACTTGCTCACAAGATTAACTGCAGATGTGATTTGCCACTGCCTAAATGAATAGCCACTTTAACACCACATTTCAGAATTGGCATCTTACTTTTGGTTTAGGCTGCTTGTCTTCTAAGTTCTGATATACATACAGGATCCTCATAACCTGCAGAGACTCCATCCACACATTCCTTCCCGAAGATGGCAGCCCAGGTTACTGGACACCTAGTCATCGTCAGAACTCAATAGGTTTTCTACGTTTTAAGGATGGATGGTGGTCATGTGGGGACTCCTGCTGATTGAGAAGGACTGAACAAGAAGGAGCAATCACCTTCCCGTTGTACTGCCTGTCATCATGTGCCAAATTATTGTCACGTGAGTAGTGACACTGCTGCTCCAAAGATCTATGTCAGGGCTTACATTGACAGGTTCCTCATCCAGGTCAATAATGTCGTGCTACCGACCCCATCTAGCGTAATATCAGCACTATCATCTTGAACTGTGCGTAGCAGATGGAAGCGCAGGTGTGTGGGGGCCGGGCCTTGCTCATCTGAAGTTCTGAACGGATCTCCATCTTGTACATCAGTTCTGTTATTATCGTAACGCTGTATGTATGTTCTTAGCTATGCAAATTTTGCTATTGTAGAAGTTCGTGTGGAAGTTGGATCTCTTTTCCGCTTTACTTTCATTTGCCCAAGCACTGCACTCACTGGATACTGTTACTGTACTGCAGTACACGACGAGCTCTGGAAATTTCGTTAGGTTCTCCTTTGCTCAGGTGCTCTTCCTTTTATGCCCTTCATAATTTCTTATCTTTAGTAGTTAGTTAAATTCTGTGTTGCAGTTAACTTCATTTTTATTGGAAAAGTATTGGCGTTGAACATACCCATCTAGGTTTTATAATTTATATCCATATTGCTTTTTGCTTGATTATTTAATTAATTGTTCTGGCTTGAGGAATTGGTATCCAAGTGTCCCTGAGGCTCTTAAGATCTTGACATTTATTTCATTGCAACTTTAGTTTTGCAGCAGTAATTGTTTACTGTCTGCCCTAGCACCGGCATGGCAATGAGCAAGAATATTCTAGAAATGATAAATAACAAACACTTTTGCTCCACTTTTAATTATCTAATGACACGCAGTTGGTTCCATTTTGGAAGCACATGTTTTTTCATTTTGTTTTTTTTTTTTTTTTTGAAAATGAATTGTGCTATTCATACTATGTCTTTTCCTTCTTTAAAAATATTTCTGTACTTTCATTGCTCATAAATAAACATTACTGTGATTTCCCTACTAGTATGTTGTTTCTGTTATGATCACTGATTAGTCTCCTTTGAAGGTCTTGAGGCATTCATTATCATTGACTCAAACATCTGTTCCCACACATTGTAGTACAGAAAGATTCTGTTCGGCTGGCTGGAAAAACGGCTGATGCTGATGCTGATGCTGATTTGTTGTGAGAGAAAAACACTGTTATTTCGCTGAAACGGTACAGCTGATAAGTTCAAGCGAACAGGGCCCTCGGATGATATGAGGAAACACAATCCACTCTGTTTATTTATTTTTTCATTTGTTGTCATTTAACAACTTATTAATAGCTATGGGTGATTTCTGCACCATAGTGCATTGGATCATATGCCATGTCCTTACAGAGTCCATTGGTTTACTATCCGTCCGTGCGACACCTGGTTCTCAAGGAAAGTACTGGGTTTATGCAGAAAAGCTGGCTCAAGAACCACTAGCAAGGATTTTAAAATTGACAAATATTGCATTTAAAAGGCCAGTTATCAGGCTCACCACTTGCCTTTTCTTGAAGACCATGCTTGTTCATAACCTTGAGGAGGCAGTGGCTTCTTGGAAAGCAAGGAAATCAAGTGGTTGATTGCCTGATGGATGTATCATGGGCATTTTGTTGGTCCCGTCTGAGTTGGCCCCCTGTGCCAGTTTGTGGGTCGGGCCTCTGCTATACATTTTCCCAGGGGGACCATCTCTTATATCTGCTGCATCCTCATCTTGGTGGCTTTCAATCTTGTGATGGTTACTTCTAGTGCCCCACCATCATGGCGTTGTCATATGTATTCTTTCTTTGGTAGCCCCAAGTTTTGCATCCATGCAGCGAGTCTGCAATGAAACTGCTAGGTTGAGCATCAAAAGGTAAAGGTTGAAGATTTCTATGCATATTTTACATGATGAGGTGATTAAACTGTACTTTGTAGTCGGGACCCTTTGATATTTTTCTTCTCCTCGGTATGTGTTAAGTAGGGTGGGTCTACTTTATCATTATGGCAGTCACATGACCCATTTGCACTGATGTTAAGATAAAAAATTTGGTGTTCAAAAGTCTTAATCATGTAACCCTGGGATAAGGCTCATCTTTTGCCACTAAGGAAAGAACCCTGGCACATGGCTTGTGCTCTAGACTTCTTAGTAAGCAGACAGGAAATCTTGTTATTGATACGGTAGTTAACCTACTTGTTTAATCATCATTACTGCAGTTGCCACAAAACCCATTCAGATGAATCTGAAACCTGCGCAGTCATCGTTCCATTAATCAATCTAATGCTCTGGGACCATCTTTAACGGTTGTCTCTGTTCTGTATCTATATATAGCAAATACATACCTAGCTCTCCGGATACTTACAGTATCCCGTGGTCTTTAGGCTAAGAACTAACAAGTGCATGCTACTGAGTTACATGAAATACTTGTTAGTTAAGTATATTATAGACTCTTTGTGCATGTATTTGTCTTTATCTTTGAGGTGTTTCACAAATTGATGCTACAGTAATCCTGTTGGCTTACCCTTGGGCCTCGGTTAAGAGCCAATGTTTAGTTAGTTGATACTCCTCTAGGTGTCTACTTCATTTTATTGACTGGTTGTCTAAGTAATAAACTGTTGTTAGCACCGTACGAGCTATTTTTTGCCCCTTTTACATAAGCAACAAAAGTAGGAGACAGTCCTCTGTTTTTCTTTTGATACATGCTGTAAGGAATCTTCATGCTTATTGGAGTTCTGTGGCCTTTTGTGTCGAACCTTGCCCTTTAGACCATCAACTTAGCCAGCCTTTTCTTAGTATCCTACTAGGGCAATTGATCCCACTTGCACACTTAAACTTTTGTTGCACCTTTCCTTACCCAGGGAACAAAAAGGTGGAGACCAGCTTTAAAAGATTAGGACATGAAAATCCCCAGGTGTCGGCATCACTTATGCCCATCATTTCTTTAAAGTTGAAGGTTTGTGATTTTTCTATGTAAATTACCACTGTGTCTGTATCCTTATATGCCATTATTTTAAGGTCATTTTCTTTTCTTCCTTTGATTATGCTCCTCTCATGGTTCCCTTAGCCACCCGAAAATTTATGAACACAACACTTTCATTCCATTTTTCGTGATAGTTCCATCCATCAGGCAAATAACCATTGACTGTTACTTTGTTGTTGGCCTATTTATTTTTCTACTAAGTAGGCAAACTACCCATAGATAACCTTTTACGTTCAAGAGGAAGCACACTTAAATGCATGGTTAAATAACTCTGAGTCTGATGACACCAACAATGAAAAATCTCCACTACCTTGGAATAATTGGAATTGGGTGATGAAACAATACATATTTGGGCAAAACTCAAACAGAAAATTTGTCATTTATCTCACACAAACGTCCTATCTGACGGCGATGGTGTGGAAGGTCATTGCTTACAAAATCTTGGGCATGTAAGGGAGACCGTCGCTATTGACAGCATAAAAGGATTAGCACTCAAAATATTGTTATAGAGGTGACTGATTTTCGCCTATAATCTTCCAAAACAGATTGCCACTTTTTTTGAGGAGAAAAGGTGAAATACATTACTTTTGCACTATTGCGTACTTATCCCTTTATGTGAAAGCATTGCACCACTAATTGATTGCAGGATAGAACAGTAGAAGTAAGGAGACGGGGGAGGGAACAAAATCCCCATGGGGATATTGCATTGTTTCTTCAGGAGGCAGGCACATCAACTTCACAGTTTGTTCTCTATGGGACCCACATAGACATAGGTACAGATGACACATACATACACATCTCTGTCTGTCTCCTTCGATCTCCTTCACAACTTGATGTTTCCTGAAACCTCCCACACATGCCTGCTGCCAGATCCCATACAGTAAGTAGGGTTTCTGGAAGCCATGGAAAAAAAATAAAAACGGAACAGCAAAAGGCAGCATTCTGGGGATGGAAGGAAGATTGCCCGGGAAACAAGGGATCTCTCCACTTCCTTCCTTTTCCTTGCACAGGTCAATTCAAACCTGTCACTTTGTGCAAGTAGTACTAGGCTGCTGCTAGCAACTACTTTGGTTGTTTGGATTCTGCAAGCATAGTCTTAAATCTCCTCATCATGTTGTTATGGACTACCCCTGACATATTAAAGTTCCAAAACTTGTTAGCTAAAGGAACATTTATATATGACGCGTCAAATTCTGATGGATTTTCAATGCTAACCAGTTATTGGAAGTGTAGGGGCTTTGGTGCATGTAGCCGTACATTGCCGTTGGTGTCTCTGGCTCCAGATCCGGTCCCGGACCGCAGTCAAGGTTCACGCCGAACAGCCGGAGCCGCCGTGACGACGGTGCTGAAGCCCCACTGCAACTCCTGTTGTCTCTGTCCGATTGAGATTCTCCTGCAATTGTTCAGCAGAAATGGTGTAAGAGGTATCAGAAGACTACGTTGCAGATCTTTCTTTACTTTTTGTTATCAGTCTTTTACCTGCATGTTGCATGTTGCTATGATCATGGTCCACCGAGTGACGGTAGGCATGGGAATTGGCCGGGCTGGTTGGGTATGAGCCTGATGTGCTGTAGCACATTGGGCTCCAAGGCTGCTGCTCTCCGCCAGTGCTCTGTGCAGGCGCCACTACGCGCACGGCAGGTGGTGGCGGTGCCGCAGCCACCGTTACACTCTCACCACGACGCCTGTAGCTGATGAATAGGCGGTCGCCCAAGCCAAAACCACGCATCCTCTCGAAGTGCACCACGTCGCCGGCGTCAAGTTGCTTCTCCTTGACGTACCGGCTCCAGCCCTTGGTGAGCACGTAGCTCTGGCTGCTCGTCCAGTACGAGTACCGGAACCGCCATGGCTTGCCAGCCTCGTCCTCGAAGGACAAGATAAGGCCTTTCTCACCGGAGTCGCCACTGAGAGGGAAGTACCTCTCGGCGTGCTGCTTGGGGATCACCAGCCTGTTGAGCTTGCCCACATCGCTCGGCGTCAGGGTCTTCTCGAACAGGTGCTCCTTCTCGTAGTGGTGGTGGTAGTGTAGGTTTGTGTACATGGCCACACCCCAGGGCCAGGCCTGGGGGTGCTCTTGGGAGAAATGATTCATGGCCATTCTTCTGCTGGAGGAAAGAAAGAGTTACGGAGTGAAGAAGTCTGTGTTAGGTTCCTGTCTGCAGCGAAAGCTTGCCGATGGGGAGGAGTAGCAGTGATGGTGTGTCGCGTAGAGAACCATGCAGGTGTCTTGGTCAGGCATTTATAGGCTCCCAAGCAGGACTTTGGGAGCGTCTATGCGATGTAGTATTAATATTTCGCTGGTACATAACATGAGGTCTTGATGTATTTGATCTAGCTTGGAGGAGGGCAGGAATTTTTAATCTGGGCTAGACAGGAGGAATCAAAGTGACGGGCTTCAGAGGTGCTGAGGTTAGAATATGTAGTCTGAGCTAGCTGATGAGGGACGATCAGGTGGTGGTACTTCAAAGTTGGTGCCTGGCCATTGTGGCCTAACCACAGCCATCCAGGGAGGTGGAGAGGAGTAGGCCCTACCATTGTTTTCCATGTGCTCTGGTGGTTGGAGCCTACATGAGACCACTGTCATTAGCTCCCCATTTTTATCTGCAGGAGTGTAGGTTTTTCAGTTCGACCTGTCTCTAGGACGGTGAAAAAGTCCTGGTTGTATTAGGAGCTGAAGCTTGTAGAGTGTGGACTGTGGAGGCATGAGGTGCCCTAGGCTAGATTAGGTGAAAAGATGCATCGATAGATTGGCAGCAGTTTCATACCTGTGGTCCGCATGGAATAGCTGGTGGGCAATTACTTGTTAAGGGTACTGATCTCGCAGGATGTGACACTTGAGGCGTATGGACCGTATGCTCTAACTATCACGCACTATTTTGTACTAGTACCAGCCATTCTTTGATCTCAGATTCAATACAATCAAGGGTTTTGTCAGGCCTGCCTCATTGAATAGGTGGCTGACCACCTAATAGGGCAGCAAGACTTCCATGTAACAAGCTGGTTCTGGTTGGATTCTTACACAATTGATGGAATTGGCTGTAAGATATTATTTTCTCATTCAAACCATCCTTGTAGGACAACCTGCCTGCCTCTGTTGAGGACCAATTGCAAAGAGAGAATACTCTATTTCTCTCTGTTATTAGCTAACCTTTTGTAAGGACCGGTGCTCTTCTCAACATGGCATTGGGCATTTGGGGAGCACCTCTTGTTGTTGGAGGATTGGGATGCAGAACAGTTTATGATCTGTTTTTCTACATTTTTAATGACAGATCTGTATCAAGCGCTGTATAATATGAAGGACAAAATCAGCGATGTCGCTTTGCTTGGTACTTTGGAGACAAGTATTCCATCACATGGTTATGAGCGGAGCAGTACATGGTTGGATACATTGAATGCTGACTAATTTATGCTCTTGTGATTTGTGAAGTATTATTCAGTTTGTCAACCTTTGGGAAACCAGAGGGGCCATTAGGGTCCCTCGTTCTGTTAGTAGGTACGGTCAAGAGTCCAGTAGTGACCGAATGGATCTTCAAAGATGATCACTCCGTTCATTCTGTTACTTGGCTGTTTCTAACATTTATAATTAGATTATTAGGTTAGTTCCATATATTCGAATATCACAGATATTTATTTTTTCTTCTGACCCAGCCCTTTTCTTTTGGATCCAGGACCAGAGAATTGGTGATATGTGATTATTATCTCACGTGGCATTAGCCTTATCTGTCCTGCTTTCTGTTCCTGGGGCTTCAAGTTCCCAAACACCACAATATTCGAACATTGGAATGAGAAGTAGGATCAAGATCGGACCTGGACAAAGATCTGCCCTGTCCAATTTCCAAAAGCTTTTCGAGTCAGATGGTATGATTTCTGTCCCAAGCTCGTCCAGCTTTTTCCATTGATGTATGTATACAACTCACAGCCCTCACAGTTCCCTGCCTCCATTTGATGCAAATCCCCATAAGTTATTCTTAACTTTGTTGTTTTCTGTGTTCATGAACTTCGGAATATGCAACAAGTGAAGTTGCTAATCACTTGCTACATGTACAGATGCACTGCAAAAGACTAGTATTCTCGATGACATGGCAATGGCATAGGTAATCTTGATTAAACTATAATTAGTCTATATTTAGCATCTCTTGGAGTATGAAACGGTATGAAACAATTGAGTTCAGTTGGTGGAATCTCTTAGCTTTCAAGGGTACTCCATTGCAGCTCAATGCAAATGATGAGCCCTTGCTCGCTAAAGTCGAATAGGCTTGTAGAGTCCCATGTGTTACATTTTCTAGTGGCCTCATGAGGATGGGATCATGAGAGGGAGACTTCATAAGCATGTCCCATTCAAACCTAACAGGAAGACTTTGTGAAAAAATTAAAACTGAAAGATATATAGGTACAGAAATTTACATATCAATTCGATACTCTTGTATTAGTATTATTGGCAATAGCATATTTGCACGTATTACGTTGACCAAGAATGAAGATACTATATGATTGAATGCGAATTTATTAAACATGTGGCAGGATGTACTAGTAGATTGTAAACTACACGGGTACTCATTTTGCAGCACTGGAACAGTGCATGCACTGGGCTATGAATTTTGACCAGAGTGCGTGATATTTAAAAGATGACCATGCGAGTACTAGTAGGGAACCACGCAGCAGGGTCCTTTTGCTAACTCAATCATGCAGCTCACCTGCCCCTCCCAAGACCAAGAGAGCTTTTGATAATGTAGGTTTGGTTTCTCCATGCACATGAATGATTTGGTATCTTGTGGAATTGAATACAAGATAACTCAAGATAAGGGGACACATGCTATTGCCCCTGGTTTTGTTTATTGTTGTGGTCTCGGTTCCCCTTTTTCGTACGGCCATGCCTGTTTGGCCAGAGTTCATACATGCATATGCATTGGGCTGAAAAACCAAACCTTGAGCGCCATGTTACTCTCCCCCTGTTCATTCTCCCAAATGTGGCCCTGGAAATGCGCAATCAAGCCTTACCCATTTGGACTTCTGATGGCATTCTTTTCTTTTTTCTTTTTTTGGCCAGGCTGAGTTAAACTATTTACACTTAGAAGATACTCTCTCCATTCCAAAATCTTGAGTCGTTTTGGTTTTCTTAAGATACATCTAGATAGTGTATATTATATATCAAAAGCTATGCACTTAGAAAAGTCAGAACCACTTACAAGCTGGAACTTGGAATGGGCGAGTACAAGATCTGCCATTGAAAAATGCTTGCATACCCTTTTAGCATTGATCATACTATTACAAAGCATCATGCCTAAATGACATGTCGTACTTACTTTTAAAACTCTGCGCCTGCTAGGATGGATGCATGAATCAGTGTAAGCTGCACGAGCGTGAAAAATAAAGCGTTTATGTACGCCGATCCTCTGTGGTTGCTGCATGGCATTGGCACCAATAATGGCGGGGCATCATGTGGCTATCATGGCAAATGCTCACTCACATCACATGCCCTGAAAACCTCTGAACCGCAACAGTGAATCCCGCCAGCTGAAGTCTCTCTCTGTCTGTCTTGCAGGCAGTAGGAGTATCTCGCAGTCGCAGTCAGCCCGTGTATAGCTGGCCGAATTTTGGAATTTGGGCGACTGTAGCACTTTCGTTTTTATTTGATAATTATTGTTCAATCGTGGACTAATTAGGATCAAAACGTTCGTCTCGCGATTTCTCACCAAACTGTGCAATTAGTTTTTTTTCGTCTACATTTAATACTTTATGCACGTATCGAAAGATTTGATGTGATGGCTACTGTAGCACTTTTTGGGATTTTAGTTTTGGAACTAAACGTGGGCTCATATTGGGTGGGAGAAGAAGAAAAACTGAAGAAGGTAAAGATGCCGCCGATTTTACATTATTCCCCCCTTGCATTGCATAGTTGCCTGCCATCCGTTGGTGCTTTGCTTGGTTGCCTTTTGTAAGGAGGCAAACAGCATCCAGGAGCACATCTTGCAAGATTTTTTCGTTCTCGTCTTTGGTGCGTACTACGTGGTGGCAGGGACCATTCCTCCAACTGATGTCATTTCATTTCTCCACTTGTGCTGCTGTAGGCGACGCGGGCGAGGCTGCATAAAGCTTTTCTCTCTTGTACTGCCACGTTGCGTTGGAGACTGCAAGTGCGCGCGTATGTGCACAGTGCACAGTGACTTGTTCTGTGATCTCTGGAGGTACTAGGCGGCTAGCCGGCGGCCGGCTAGCGTATCTTTGTGTGCAGTGCAGGGCAAAGCAGAGGCGCAGACGATCCGTGCCTGCCGCCGGCCGGCTCGCTGACGTGACGGAGAAGGGCGATGGTGGTCATGTTTCGCACTTGGTCTGGTTTAGATTTTAAGTTTTTTCACTCTCTCTATCACATCAAATTTTTGGACACATACCTGGAGTATTAAATGTAGATAAAAAATAACTAATTACACAGTTTAATTGTAAATTACGAGATGAATCTTTTGAGTTTAGTTAGACCATAATTAGACAATAATTGTTAAATACAAATAAAAATACTACAGTGCCGAATAGTGATTCCTAACCGCGAATTAAACAAGTCCTTGTCCTCGGTAGGCGCCTTTTTTCTCGCCGTGGCAGTGCCTGCACCTGCGTTGCATGCAGGCCGTGGTGCGGTGCCGGCTCCATCGCATTCTTTTCGTTTCGCCTGTCAGCGAGCACTGGTGAAATGGACTAGTATTGGAGACCGGGCGGAGGCCTCGGTGGTGCGGCTAGCAGCAGGCAGAGCCGGAGGGGGACAGAGCGGACGCAGGCGGTTGTGGCGAGGCGTGAGCGTGTCTGTAGTACATGTGTGTGAGTGTGTGTTTGTGTGTGCATGACGCTGTGGTGGACTGTGCTGTGGCTCATGGATGGATGGTGGGCAGTGGTGTCATCACCCGTGGCCAGCAAGCTAAAGGGTTGGTTGGGTGGGTGTGGGAGTATAACACTGGTTGGATTTTATTCTTGGTGCCTTGTTGCCCATATTCATGTGGGTGTGTTGTACCATTTTGCTGTCTAGCTTGAATCCCTAGCTAGTGCTTGGATTCTTTGCTAGCCCTTTTGTTGCCTTACTAGGTGAGAAATCAAATGTAAACTTAGGGTCTG